TACAGACACCCGTATACATGTATAAGAGACAGTTTCGTTTGTCCCCATAAAAAGCTCATATATTTTCTTTTTTCCGTGTACTGTCGATAACTGAATATCTTACCAAAAAAAAATCTGACAGAAACGGCAAGCGACCTTTCAAACGTTTTGTCTAATATTCAATGCACCTGGCTGAGTCGCAAACTAAGAGCGTTAATACGAATCGATGCAAAGTAAAGTCTTGGATTCCATTCTCGTGTTTTAGGAACAACACTATGATGGTAATTGTGAGATTTATTTAGGATTAACTTGATGCAGTTAAGAAATTAAACAACGCTTCTCCTTAAAATGTCTGCTTTAGTCTTCGCTGTCTATAAAATATATGTCCGTGACGTTTTTCTTTTTTCTGAGTGCCCGCTTAATATCGACACCCGTCCATAGAAATGTCAAATATAATTTAAAAGCGTCATAACCAGTAGCATTAGAGTCAACAGCGCATTAGCTGCTCACGTGCGTTCATTCCAGTGGGAAAATATTTACATTCTCTGTCACTGCCACCTACAATGACCTACGATTTAGTCCGGCGAACCTAAATACATGAAGTACCATCTGCGGATATTGAAAAGCAACTTACGGTTTTCATGACAATCATAATTTGACAATTTCAGATGCTTAGTCACACCTTTTGTTTCCATATTTTAACTGACTGACAAAAAAATGCAATCTCTTTGCACAGTAAGTAAAATAATAAAAAAAAACTTTCTAACGTTAATTCTTGTAATGCACTGAGTCAAATGCAATGTCCAGCCAAGGCTATAAATAATACTTGCCAAACTATACTATGAAAGATATTATTCATCACCCAATATGGTTACCAGTTTAAGCGACTTTCCATGTCCTCGTAATAGTATGACGCCATCAAATCATGTAAGATACTTTGTATCACTTTCAAAAACCTACCCGAGATCATTACAGGTTTAATGTAACATGAAGGTCTACCCTCGAACACTCCTGATCTAAAAACATGATAGTCTACGTGGCATCAATTTGCAGGTTTTTTTAACCCCCCCCCCCCCCCCCAAAAAAAAGCCGGAAATGACAAAGTAACAAAAATGAAAAACTAAGAACAGAGCTCTTTTAACTTTTGCAATGGTTTTTCAGTTCAATATACTGTTAAAGGTTCTCTTATTTTTTTTACTTTGCCAAGATTTAATAGAAACTGAATATCATTAATGTGCATTACTCTTGTATTACCCCGTTTCCCAGACAACAATAATTCATTATTGGTTAAAGAATTAGTTCTTTTGATTTCTTTTTTACGTTCTTTTAGTAGCAGCCGTGGTTTGCATTTCTTCAATATATTCATCTCGTCGGAACAAGCATCGCTTAATACCAGCGCGAAACTGCCTGTTAATTCCACTGTTAATTAGAGGATTTGCCAGGGAATTACAATAACGAAGGAACAATATGACATAGTTGATAGCGTCCATAGATTTGCCGCGACATGATGGGCAGTACGTGTAAACAAGAAAGAAAACAAATAGAGGGCACCAGCAGAAGAAGTCAGTCCCACTATCACAGTCAAAGTTTTTTGCATCTTTAAGCTGTATGTTTATACCACGTTTAGATCCCACAGGATCATGCATTAGGCAAGGCCTGTGATCGTATCCTTCGCGCGCCCATACGTGCCACAAGAAAAATTTTCCAGTCAAAGACATGACAGCAGCTGAAAACACAAAACTCGTCAAGGTGATAAATGTCACGTATTCAAGGAAAAATTTCAGTTTTCAAGGACTGAGATTTAATTAATAAATCCGTATTATTTAGGCCCCTTTGATCACCCCATTGGCTAAAAACATAATGGAGTCATTTACGATTTTCACTTATTCGGCCATCGTTCATCGCATTATTTTACACAACTTTCCGCAACAAGCCATTGCAAAATGACTGGGTATGACTTGCAATTGCATCTGAGGGACAGAAATAGCATTTGAAATAAAGAAACAGAAATAAAATATCTCACACAGAGGATGAGCCAAATTTTCCTTGGCAAAATAATTTTATTTTACACGGAAAAAGGTATCTAGCGTGGACAAGGTTATGAATTTGAAAGACTTTTTAAGACCTAATAAAGAAAGTACTTTTTAAGGACCTAAACTGAATCCAAGGACTTTTCAAGATGACTAGTACAATTCAGGACCTTTTCAAGATTGTACGAGCCATGTTGCATGTTTAATGACAATAAAATGTTGTACTTATCTATATTTATCTGTTTTTTTTTATTGTGCGAAATTTAGATCTTGTCTAGCGTGAATTTCAGCCGTCCCCTCGTGTTGCATACGGCTGAAATTCAGGCTAGATCCTGCCAAGCTCCCAAGAAACACTAAACCGTGACTGATAAGCTTATTACTTTCTTAATCTATTACCGACTGCAAGATAAATTACGACCGCTGTTTTTGCGGTTGTCAGGTAACGAAGAATCTTGCGGTCCCAGAAATTAAATTAAGAGGAAATTTTCTAGAAAAGGACAGGAAGGCTCTGGTATGGAGGTACGCCAACTGCTAGGGAATCCTTTTTATATGCCGCATTTAAGTCGTCAAGCAAGAATAATAAATGGTGGAATGATAACAAGGCTGGTACCAGTAAGTAACAAAGAAATAATACCAACTGATTGCATCGAAGTTAAAGGGGCTCAGTCTGTCACAGCTAGTTGATTTTGTTAATATTTCCAATTATGCTCCCTTTAGCGCTATAGAAATTAACGTTAAGGAATAAATAACAGCAAGAGCCATAATAGGACTGTCATGGCTCTTGATTACAGTTATAAACGACAAAGTAAGTGTTTCTCGTTCAACAGAAATGTACTTAAAAAATTGTTAGACTAACAAGTCTTCAAAAAAACACAATTTTAATCCGGCTTTAATCTTCTTCACGTTTGTCCATCCGTGCCCCCATTTGTATTTGCTGTGTTATTTGTACCTTCTTTTAATGCTTTGAGCGATTATTTTTACATTTCACTTAGTTTGGTGGCAGGTCTTCTTATTCTGCGCTTTATCAGTTGATAGACCAGTGGAACCCCGCTCTAAGGAAACCCGGTTAATACAGACACCCGTATAAATGTATAAGAGACAGTTTCGTTTGTCCCCATAAAAGGCTCATATATTTTCTTTTTTATGTGTGTTGTATATTACTAAATATATTAGCCTTCCCACCAAAAAAATAAAAAAAAAAAAACAAAAAAAACAACAATGCGATGTAGTAAAACAGTATGAGCTAACTATGATCAACAACGAATAGAACATAAAAGAAGAAAAGAGACAGAGAA